CTAGCCGTACAACGGTGTTGCCAGTAGGCCCCAAATCTGGTTCGCCGTTTATGTGGAGATGTTTCTCACTGCCAGAATACACCTCAAATTTGTGCACAAATCCATATATGCTGCAGATCAAGAACAGCTTGAACCCCCATTTATGTGGCTTGTTCGGAAGGTACTGTTTCATATAGTGACCCATTTTGGTAGCACACATTTGTTCGTCTAACGATAATCGTTGCTCCAAAGGTACTGTAGCATATCTGGTATTTAACTCATCGATTACGGGCCGAATCTTGTGCAACCGATCATGATTGGGGTGGTCCTGAGGTAAATGAGTTGTATTGTCATTGAAATGTAAAACAGAACAAATTTTCTCAAAATGTTTTTGAGTCATTGTGGATTTTATGGGTTCATAACCATATTGATCTGACCAGTACAACCGAAAGTTAGGGTTTTTTACAATAGAAGAATAAATAAGAATTCCTAGGAACTTATTCAGATCATTTCTAGAGATAACAAATGGATTAGATAGATTTTTCTGGGTAGCGTACAAATTACTTTCTGTCTGGATTTTATCTCTCAGTTCTTGGGTGAAGAAATATGAGAAAAATTGGTATGGCGTCGATAATTCTAAGATTTTATTTGGGTACTGTATACTTTGAGGAAAATTTTGAATGTTTTGAATAGTGGTGAGATTTGTGCGTCTCCAAGTCACGCGGCCGTACCGTTGACGAGAGGCAACAGTTTGGTGATTCTGTGGCTCCTCGCTCTCGTTTTCCAATGATGACTCATCAGCATTATCAATAATAAGTGGCGGATTATCACTAGTACCTTCCACAGAAAAATCTACGTCCTCAGCATCCACTTCATTTACCAAATCTGCCAATAACTGTCGATTATTCTCATAATAAATCTCTTCATCTGCCTCCTCCCCTCCTGAAGAATCCATGTCATCCTCAGACTGGTCCAGGACTTGGAGGTATTCCTCAATGGTTTTCGAATCCAGCGTCCTCGGCATTCTAGAAAAAAATACGTACGAAAATGTAGAAAAAATGCCGTATGAAACATACGAAAATCAAACTATCTATGTCTATAAATGCGCGATGTTGCAGTTATGCAACAAACAGATTTTGATAAAAAAGTATATCAAAACCCTGTATTTACAGCGAAACTAATTTTGTTCCGTTTTCATAGTATTATAATATGTCTGAAAACATAAAAACAAACACCACTCACCTTACAAAAATACAGGCAAACTGAAAAAAATCTTCGAACAATTCACTAATCCACTTTTTCGCGCGTTCGCGAACATACACATAGAAACAGAAACAGAAACAGAAACTTTTTTATTCAATATAGATTATAAATAATACTTATTGAAAGTCACTCTTTTGTTTGATTACCACTGGTTCGGAAAAAACCTCTGTCCTGGGAAGAACCAGCAAGAAACCCAGCGGGACTTTTTTTTTTAAATAACAGCTTACAATCATGATGTTACACAAATTAACAACACAACAAATTAGAAATAGCTTGGTAGCGATCACCTCATTTCCAGGGGTTATTATCATCCATAAATTCCTTAATATTATAATAACCCTTTTTATACAAACTTAGTTTAATAAAGTTTTTGAACTTTGAACAGGTCAAACTTTGTATATTTTCTGGAATTTTGTTGTAAAAGCGTATACATCGCCCCAAGAATGAATTACTGACTCGATGGAGTCGAGTAACTGGTACTACTAGCTTGTGTCTGTTCCTAGTATTTACAGAATGAATATCACTTATTTTTGTAAAACTACTTTTATTTTTGTGTACGTACATTACATTTTCATAAATGTATTGAGAGGCCAAAGTTAATATATTAATTTCCTTAAATTTTTGTCGCAGCGACTCTTTAGGCTTTAAATCATAAATTGCTCTTATGGCCCTCTTCTGCAAAACAAATATAATTTCAGTGTCAGCTGCGTGTCCCCATAGCAAAATACCATACGACATTATGCTATGGAAGTAGCTGAAGTAAACTAGTCTAGCTGTTTCAACACTGGTTAAACTTCTAATCTTTTTTACAGCATATGCTGCAGAACTAAGTCTGCTTGCTAGTTTTGATATATGGGGGCTCCATTGAAGCTTCGCGTCTAGTGTGATTCCAAGAAAAATGGTGGTATCTACAAGACTCAGTTTCTCCCCATTTAAAATTACTTTAGTATTTAATTGTTTGACATTTGGAGTCACGAATTTCATACATTTTGTTTTAGTGCCATTTAAATGCAAATTATTAACATCGAACCAATTTACTAATTTAGAGATAGCATTATTTACTTCGTCATATTTTAGTAACTGTCGACTTAATTTGAAAATTAAAGAAGTGTCATCTGCAAATAATACTATATCATGGTTATCCCCTACTATGTAAGGTAAGTCATTAATGTATACAAGAAACAGAAAGGGGCCGAGAATTGAGCCTTGAGGCACGCCCATTTGTACCATCGATCCGGAAGAGCTCATATTGTTAATGACAACTTTTTGCGTTCTCTTACTTAAATATGAAATAATTAATTTAAGGGCATCACTTCTTACACCTCTTATCTTCTTAGAAAGTTTATGGTTTCGAAATTCAAAATTGAACCGCCTTGTCAGTTGTCAAAAAGAAAACAAAATTCTCTATTATCTGTGTGGATGAAATTCGGATACACGTCACTACAGTTTGTACATTAGATCAATTTTTGGTATGTTGCAGATATGCAACAAATCGAATTTTAGGGGTAAGGGATAGCCACTATCCCCAAGTAAATGGCTGTCTCCATACTTCCCTCTTTCACACTTTCGAAAAGTATTGCTGTGTTGGTAAATTGCCGAATCATGTGTAGAACCTGGCCAGCGTGCAACAACATCCTGCACCAATAAATTTGCTGATGCAATTGTTTGGACATTTATGGACATGTAGCCTTTCCTGTTTCTAAATAATTTTGCATCATCTCTACCTAAAGATATAAATAATACTTCGTCAGTATTGCTTGATAGACTTCTAAAAGAAATGAACTTTTAGTTAAAGGAAGTTACATCAAAATGAGCAATGTACCTAGTGACTGAATTTTACATATGTACGATCAATAAATACAGCCCAGTACGTTAGGGAATCTAGCTATATCACGGAAGTCTACCTTAACTCTGTCTTGGTCTCTGGTTGTATCAGGCAATATGATGAATTCTCGACGTAGGGATACAATTGCTTGAGACACTCTATTTACTATCCGTCTGGATGTAGCCAAACTAGTACCACCCATATCCGCCACAGCAAGCAAGTGATTGCCTGTGGCGTAATATCTTAAGCTATTAATAATCGATTTATGGGTGGTATGGGTGGGAAAGTGAATCACAAATTCTACAAATTAAAATAGGTTGGTACTTAAGTACATATACCTCGGTTATCAACTTACTATGGTAGGTTAGTTAGCACCTAACAGGTACCTACGGCCTACCTATACAGACTAATTTTTCATTCACAAGTTACTGTTAGTAACAATAAAAATAAAATAAAAGGAGAGCAATAAAGTAACCTTTTATGCTTTTACCTTTATTTCGTAGCTAGGTAATAAGTTAAAAGGTAGGACTCGCCTATTGAGTTAAATATTTAATAAACTAGAATTTTAATAATATTTTGGACTATGGTAGAGTAGGGCGGGGCTTAAAGGTCCAATTTGACTATTTCGAATAATACTGTGAAAACTGACTACTATATCAAAATAAATAACACTAATCAAACAAACAGTTATCTGCGTAGGTTTGACTCAATGTTCAATTGAATTATTATAATAGAAATATGTGTTTCTACAACTTTTTTAGACCTTGTCGTCTGTCCCTTTTTGCCTCATAGTAGGGGTCAAAAGGGACAGGCAGGAGGCTAAAAGGTCCGGTATTTAAATTTTATTTAAAATCGATTTTATGGAAATAAAACAATATTTGGTTCAATAAAATTCAGTCGTTTATTTTTATTCCAAAAACAAAAAGTTAAAAATATTTTAATTTTTAAACCAACCAAAAACTTTATTATAATTCCAAGATACATATTATTTAAAAAGTCTCTATTCTAAAAGAAAATATATTTTTACCAAACAAAATTTATTTTTTTCTAAATGTATTACAACAGTAACAGTCGAACTAATAATTTCTAACTTTGTTGAGCTTATAATAGTTTAATCACTAATCAGTCTCTATTGAAGAATACAATTAAACAAGACAGCTTTATGAATGTTGACATAGCCTGAATTTAAAATCTTATAACTAATCTTACATAATCTTTTAAAAACTTTTAACAAACAATTTTTTATAAAACAAAATATACTTCTTTAACCGTAACACAAAAATTAAACTCTTCTTTAATTATTAACTTCAACAAATTAACATAATCAACATGTCTTGGTATCTCTATATTATCTTAATCAGACTCATCGTTTTCTGAATCACAGTTAATACAAACAAAGTAAATGGTACCTCTGTTTGAAATACATTTTCATGGGCCTATTATTTGCAAACATTGCATTGAATCCAACCTTCGCCTGGAACACTGTCACTGTACTTCTCGCAGCAAATCAAACAGAAGCATTCGTCGTCAGAGCTGGAATCACTATTAACCTCTTGTAAAATAGCTTTTTTTACTTTCTCAACTCTTGTAGTTGCTTTGCTTTTCTTTTTTACACCTTTAGCCTTTTTCTTACTCAAGGGTTCTTGTTCTTTACGTAGATTTTCTTTTTCTGGTGTGTCCGTCAAAATAGCAGTTTTTCGGCGCTTCCTATTAATAATTGACTTTCGTGGTCCGGCTTTAGGTAGTGGTCGCACGATTTCGGGGGAAAAACATTCGTGTGGATCAACTGATGTTGATATCTGTGCATCATATTATGTTGATGGCTGCGGATCTAACGGTGTTGAAGGTTGTGGATTAGACAATATTATTGGCGGAGGAGTGGATGATGTCGAAGGCTGTGGCTCATTACTAACAGTTTCCATAGGACGGTCCGTTACGTAACTAGATGCAAAATCAGCGTCATTAAATTTATGTTGGTTGAAGGGAAATATGCGAGTTTTTCGAATCCACTCATTATGTTACTCGGTGTCAAAGCTAAAAGTAAAGAAGTGCGGACGATCCCAGGGATATCGTATATGGTCATGTTTTTTCCAGCGTTATTCCGCATCCAAGCATCTTGAGCTGAAGACAGATATCTTTTAAAAGGGCCATATACTGACACGTCAAGTGGCTGTAATTTGTGAGAACAGAGTGGAGGGAAAGAGAGCATGACCACTCCATTTTCTTTAGCTAAATCTAGTGTTGGTACAGATAAGTGCGAAGAATGGTTGTCTAAAACCAACAGAATAGGGAATTCTTTAGAAGGTCTAACGTGCTTGATAAAATGCTGCATAAATAGGAAAAACTCGTCATTAGTGATCCAACCGCTAGAATTCCCAGCTCCAATGCAATCAGTAGGACCGTCCCGAATGAAATGATCTTGAAACTTTTTGCGAGGGAAGATGAACATAGGTGGAATTGATGAACCTGTAGCAGAAACCGCTACTAACAGGGTTATATTAGTTCCACGTTCACCGGATGTTATTGATCCAACATTTCGCTTTCCTTTAGCAGCAACTATTTTTGATGGTTTGGTGACGGTGGATACACCAGTTTCATCCGCATTCCACATGGAAGAAGCTGTAAATTTGAATCGATCCACAACGTCAGCTAATTTAGTGTAAAACTTTTGCACATTAGACTTATTGAAAGACGTAGCTCTGCTGAGGCTAGTCGCTTCAGGTTTTCTTATGGAAAGACTTGTATTACGTTTGAGAAAGGCAGACATCCAATCTCTACCGGCCATTTTGTTTGTATGCCATGTTGACGGTACACTTATTTTATATTTAATGGCACAGTCATAAGCCATGCGACGAACTTCTTTAGGACCTATGCCGTGAAAAATTTGTGCAAGTTTGAACAAGTATTCTGTGAGACTGGCTTCTTGTTCTTTATTAAATATCTGCCGTGGAGAACCATAGCCAAATCTCAAGTTAACAGGGTCATTCTTCATTCGCTTAATAAATCTTGACAATGAAGTTTTACTTAATTCATAGTCACGACATACCTGCCTCAATGATTTATTTTCATTGATAACTAAATCTGCTGCCCGTTGCATCAACTCAACAGATTTAGTACCACGATCCGATTTTCTTTTATAGTTGCGCATACTGAAACAAAACCGTCTTTATTAACCCAGATATTAATGAGGGGCTAAAAGGTCCACATTGGACCTTTTTGCCCCAACCACGTGTAAATATTTTTAGAGGTTATAACGAAATAACCGTTAAACCGAGCATAAAACTAATAATAAATCGTGAAAAACAAATAAATCACTAATACTAATAAATTATGTTTAGGTGTGATAAACGAAAAACCACTGCTCGAAACTAAAAAGTAAAATGATGAAAAATTTACTGACGTTAAAATTTTTAGATGTAGTCGTATATCTCCGGTTAGCGACGCTGCTCGACTGCCGGCGATGCCTCGTTACGCCTCCCGCGCTCTCTTCATTCCGCGTACATAGTTAGAACGCACGATATACCGCTAGTTTTTTAGATACTTATGGTGGACCTTAATACCCGCGGGCCTTTAAGCCCCGCCCTACCCCACCTACATTAAAATTGATTACCTAAGTAAATATACATAAGTAAATATACATATATAATATATGTATTACTCACCTATTATCGGGAAATTCCAAAAAATGTTCAATTTTTTCCAACAAATATGTCACTGTTGATTTAGATAACCTATATCTTCGGAAAAAATCTATATTATCGAAATAGTTGAAATTATTTGGTTTATTTTGGATTTGTATCAAATATAGTATCATTCATGTCTTAATTATCAAAAAAATAAAATAGATCAAGATCCATCTTGTCCTCTAGAAGTCGCTTTTACTTATGTGATGGTTTATAGGACCAATAATCCATCTCATAAATTTAGGGGACCGTTTAGTCAGTAACGGGCCCTCTACAAGTGGTGAAACGGAAACTGTCCCCTAATTGGCCCCTAAATATGCTAAGGGGTCCCATAAATATTATGGGCCGTTGGTGAAAGTGAGCATCAGACTTTTAATGCTCTTGTTAAGAGAATCTTTTTATTTATAAACATTATTTGTCGTCACAAAGTGACTCTACACTGAGATCAGCAATCATTATTTTTTAAATAATACCCCACATTATTGATAAATTCATTCCGCATCAGAATCAGTATTTTCGTTGTCATTCGTAGGTAAATTTTTCCAAAATATTTGCTTGTAAGGAAGCATAAATTCGCGAAGTTTTTTAAGTATATTCTCCTTTCTTGTAGTTTTTATGCCTCTTGGATTTGTTCTGGACGTAATTACAGAAATCGTTCCTTTTTAGATTTTAAATAGGTATCTTTCAGAAAAGTTAATTCATTTATTTCTCGAACAAAATCAGTTTTGTAAAATAGATTAAATGGTCCTCGTTTGAATATTACTTGCACCATGTTTTGTATACACGCACGTGGGTTTGAAGTTTGGATTCTTCGCGGAGATGTATAGTTATTAATGTTAATGAAATCGAAGGTTTTCATTTCCTTAACAGTCACTTTTGCAGAATTGGCAGCAGAAACTGCTTCAATAAAGTTTTGAAAATCGTGGTGTCAAATAGTTTATGGAACTGGTTTATAACAAGGTGATATGGCATACAAGACTTCATCCATACTCATGCAAGAAAAGCTTTTGTCTAACCTTTTTGCTTAGCTTCAAAGTAAATAATAACGTCAATTATGGCGCTCGAGCAGTAGGGCAACTTGGCCGTAGCGTATTTTAATATTATTTTATTATGAATATAAAGCTATTTTTTGCATATTAGAGTGGTGAATAAAGTATGTCATTATTAATTATAAGAGTAGCTAAAATTTTTAATAATAATTGGGCTTAATTATCAAGCTGTATGTGCCAATCTTAATTGAGGTGCCAGTTGAGAAAAATATGGACTTAAGTTTAGAATCAGTGCACATCTTAAGTTAATGTATTAAATGCAAGCTTTTAAGTATTATTATTTGATAATAATATTATAATAATACAATATGTAACTAAAAACATTATTATGTACCTAGTTACCTTATAATTAACGTGTTGACGCCAAAACATCGACGTGCTGAGCGCGCAGCCTTTCCCCGCGATGTCTCGGAACGCAATGATCCAAATTCCAAATACAAAATCCAAAACCAAGGAATATACGAGTACCTCTTTGACGCACGCACACAACGATTACTAAACTTACACTTAAACGCTTTTAGGCGTAGCATATTCATTTTGCTGTTCTTTTAATATTATTTCAAATATTATTCAAAGATATATCATAAGCTAAAAAGCAGTGACTGCTTTTATGTGAAGTATGCAGTTATAATATATTTTTTAAATTCTATGCTTAAAGCAATTAAGTGTTTTTAGCCGTGTCTTAGCTTCTATTAATAGTGTTTACCTTATTAATAGTGCTTTTAAGCGTATTTATTAAGACTTACTCTAAAAAAATAGTTACTAAGTAAAAAAGCAGTTACAAACGCTTAACTGCCTCTTAGCTTAGGAATTATATTTAACTACATTTTTCTTAGTTTTACTAAATATAATATTAAATTACTACTAAGAAAAAAATGTTAAAATCACTTAGCGGTTTTATAGCGTAACGTTGTATCGTAACTGATTTCTAGCGTATGATGGCTAGGAAAATGTTGCACTTAATCGCCAATGTGTTTAATCTATCTCTGGAACTATGAAACGTACAAATATAATTCCAATATTGGTCGATAGAGAAATTTTTGTTTGGTTTAATGGTGTAGAAAGCTTAAAATCGGCAAAATGTACTTAGACGCCTTCTTTCGTATCAGGGCAGAATAAAAATCTAAACTTATAAAAATGATAATATTATTTTACCTTGTCTTGTGTATAAAATTCGAAGATTTTGTGGGCGGTTTTGTGTGCGGTTTGCGGGCGGTTACAGCGATCTTTTTCAGTATGAGCCGCTGCAATCAGGCGATACAGCATCACTCGCGACGGCAGCCGAGCGCGGACTTTGGTTTCATCAAAATTTTTATACAACAAATCAAAACAGGCACCAAAAATAAAATAATCCTTATTGCAATACATTATAATTCATCCATATTAGTAAAATATGTGAAAATATAAGCATCAGTTTTATTTTTTTTTACGACTATTTGTGACATTTTGATAAAAAGTAAACACAGTTGAATATGTCTGCCTACTTATAGTATTTTTAGAAATCTTAATATATGTTGATAACAGAAAAAAAATGTACCTAAACATGAAACGGTATCGTTAATTTTGTAGAAAATGGCTAGGAAAGATCGTTTTTACAATATAAAAGACTATTATTTTGAACAAAAAAGTTACCACTATTTGAAGATGAAGAACCAATCTATACGTGGTAGTTATTGGTTATATTTGATTTGGTTTAGTTTTGTTACAAAATGTACCGAAAAAGAGCATAATTTTGCCCGATTTGCAAACGCGTCCTTGAGAATGTCTAATATATTTTGTGAATATTTGAAATCAGCTATGGTAGTTGACGGTTTACATCAAAAGCCATTTTGACTGTCATAAATTTTATTAAATTTCTCGCAATATGAGTATAGATGCTTTATTATAGCGTATTCAATTATTTTGGAAAAAGATGGTAGTAGAGCTAAGGGTCGGTAGTTGCTTGTCTAAGTAGGATCTCCGGATTTGAATTTATGTCTGACTACTGATATGTTTGTTACTAGTTTTCTCTTTAACAATTGACCATATAGTTTAGTTTATGTTAGATGACTGCTTGATTTTTTTGATGTTATGACTATATCTTTTAGGAATTTCGTATATTCTCTGTAATAATTTTCTAAAATAAGATTGTTGAATTGGCCGAGTAATATTTTTAGTAGTCTCTTATGTCTACATAAGATTTTTATTCCTTTTGGCAACCATGTTCTTCGTTTTATAGTTCTTAATTTTATACTCGTTATTATATATTAAAAATTTTATGAATTAATTCTATAAAAGCATTGTAATTATCATTAACAGATTTATATTTAAAACTTTTAAACCAATCAATATTTTTAATTTGGGTTTTAAATAATTCTATTTGGATTTCTTTATAAAGGCGTTTATTGTATGTACCAGGCTGTCTTTGGCTTATATATAACATTTTTTGTACTAGCAATAATATCCTTGAGATCGGATAATCCATATTCATTTACCATTATATTAGTATTAAACATGTTTAAATTAAAATTGGTAAATAACAAGTATATGCACGTTAAACTCATGCCCGTGATTCGAGTTCGTTCCCTAATTTGCTGAGTAAAGTTATATGTATACATGAGATTTAAAAGTTTAGACTGAAGTTCTAACTTGCATAGAAAGTCTATATCAAAATCACCTCCTACTATTATATTTTTGAGGGTCTTTTTTGGTAATTTTTTTAGCGTATCTTCAAGTAATGTAAAAAAAGAGTTCCAAGTTTCTATTTTCCACTGGCCAATAAAGATTAACAAATATTATATTTAATTTTGGGATCTCTAGGCAATACAATTCAAAAACAAGTTCGGTTGAAAGACTAGTTATATTGCTACACTAGTAGTGTAGTTGTACCACTTCTGGACCACCTGCGTCAGAAGCGGTTCGACGACGTTCGTCGACACACGATCCTACAAAAAAAAAAGGTTTTGGCATGCTCTGATCACGAATCTGCGGTCCATTTTTGCGTAGGATGCACGGTTCCGGAGATGTGCAGATCAATTAGCTAATATCTAATTGATATCCGGTAAGGGCCTCCACCGTCATTAGCGTCCCATTGTTCCTATTTCTATTGTTCTATTGTTCATTAATCATCTTCATTGCAGCGTGTGCGTCGACTATATCAGTGCTATTGTATTATACTTCTTTGTTCCTAATTATACAACGCTAATCTGAATCATCAATAAAACACATTACATAATTTTGTTACAATTTTTATTTATAAAATACAAAATCTTATTACTTATTATCTATAAAATAGGAGCGAAACATCTCATCCACTAAAATATCGTTGTACAATGTGTTCCTTGTAAATATACTCGTAAAACTATGTATTGAACATCCCTGAAACTTATATAGCAAATACATTAAGCAATATTCGCCACAAACTGAAGTCCACTCAT